AGTGTCAGCAACAGGGGTGATCTAGTACGAAGGAAGCCACCATGGGAAGCATATAGAGCACAATTTGAGCTCCTGGCAGAAATGAATGGATGGACAGAGCAGAAGGAAGCAGTGTACATGACAACGAGCCTGAAGGGACAATCACTGGAAATACTTGTACAGTTGTCATCAGATGACAGGCACAACTATAGAGAACTGGTAGCTGCTCTAGAACTCAGGTATGGAACTCAAAATCAGTCTGAAGTCTACAGGACTAGGTTTAGGACAAGAGTCCGTGCTAAAGGGGAGAGCCTGCAAGAGCTGGCACAGGGTTTGGAAAGTATGGCACACAAGGCCTACCCAACTGCACCACCAGATGTCCTCAAGCTATTGCTGAGGGATCGGTTTGTAGACGCCTTGGACAGTCCACAACTGAAGATACAAGTAAAGCAAGCACACCCCCTCTACTATGCAGGATGCAATGGCCAGAGCTCTTGAATTTGAATCCTACTTTAAATCCAGCACAGAGGTACCAAGGTTGGTACAGTCATCAGGATTCAAGGCCAGAAAAGGTTAGCTTTCAGAGAAGTTTGAGGAACTTTGCTGGCACTGTAACAAACCTGGACACAAGAGAGCTCAATGCCAGTAATTTCAACACAGAGAAAATGCCACGGCAGGAAAGGCTGCTACCCAGAGAGGTTGTTGGAATTGTGGAGAGCAAGGACATATGAGGAGCCAGTGTAAGAAGAATACTATCAATAAGTCAGCTTGGGAAACCAGTAGTGGTTGGTGTTGAGGGATGCCCACCAACCCGCATCGTGAAAGTCCCGACAGCTAAGTGTAAAATGACAAGCACACATAGTGTCAGTGTGACAGGAAAGCTGGATGGCCAAAAGTGCAACTTTGTCATAGATTCTGCATCTCAGTAAACCCTTGTGAGTATCAATGTGCTGGATAACGAAGGAGTACCAGAAGCTATACAGAAGCTCTGTGATGTGACAGGACATTATATAAGGTTGTGGGGACCAGTGTGGGTAATTATTGTGCTCATGGGCATAAAGGACAGGCATAAAGTATACATGGCTGACATTGAAGACCATTGCATATTAGGGTTGGACTACTTACTACCAAGGAAGTGTGTAGTTAACTTTGATAAAATGGCGTTTGGGAACAACAAAGGCCAAATTCCGGTAACTTTAAAAGAGAGGTTGGACTAACCAGGTACCATCAAGCTGAAGTCAAAGTGACTGAAGGAGGTGATGATGGTGAAGTGGAACCAGGTATAGATATTAAAGCAGAACAGAAGTAAGACCAAGATTTGAAGCCAATAATTGAATTTCTACAAGCAAGGGTTTTGTGCCCTGCTTGGGACAAGGTGTCTAGCTTAAGTCATGTGACAAAGAACTATTGGGCACAATGGGACCAGTTGAAGCTTGAAGATGGTATTCTTGTCCGGAGCTGGGAAAGTGACGACCTGGAAAACAGTTATACCGAGGAAGTTACGGGAAGTTGTGTT